ACCCTGGGATCATGACCTGAGCCGAAGGCAGATGCTTAATGACTGAGCCACCCAGGCGCCCCTCTGATGGCACTTTAAATTTTGATCCTAGAAAGGGTCCACCCACAGCAGCGGCGGGGGGGTGGGGGTTTGAGGGTTGGGACAGCTGGGTGGGCACAGGGTACGCTCCTGCCTTATAAAGCTAACCGTGGTGTTTCAACTCCTCTTCCCTTGGGTCCAGAACAGCCACTCATCCCCATTTTCTTGAGGCCGGTTTGGCTGTTGAAGGTGGCCACGGCCTCTGAAAGTTATTCTGACTTAGGGCTATAATATCATTCACAGTGATTGATGTCTGATCCTATGAGAGATTTTGGTCATTTTTGTGTTTAGGTTGATCCACAGTCATTCACCTGGCTGTTAAGGCTGACAGGATTTCGTGGTTGTCTCCATCCCCAAGGCTCCGTGGACGCCCTTCCCAGGAGCACATATCCAGTGTCCTCTGGGGAGTAGTGGAGGTTGGTGTGTATGTATGTCTGTCTCCATGTGCCTCAGATTATTGCTTCCTAATAAAATTCTGTTAGCTGGGCCCCATCAATATCTCAAATACATGTGAGGAAACGTTAATTTAGAATCAATTTTAGGATGTTTCAGACTGTAAAGTCCTTTTAACTAGATCTCTGGCGAAGATGTAGAAGCACTTTATGGGACTGTAAATTTCATGTTGAACAGTCTTCGTGAAATACACATCTCCCCTACACACAAGCTGTTCTCTCCATATCAATCATGGCTCCTGCAAGTAATGTTTCACAAATATTCTGTAAATCACAGAAAACCCCATGATAATGTGAAATATGACTTTCACTTGTCTGTTAGACAAAAGAATCACACATGCCTCTCCCATCAGCACTAACATTTGTTATGGATAATAACACTTTCAATCACAACTATTTTTGGAAAACGGGTTTATTTTAAACCTTCCCTCCCCCACTGAAAACACTTTCCCAAGGACACAGACTCCTACAAACCACAGCCCATTAATCCAACTACGGAATGGAAACTTTTTCTTCTTACTAACTTTTTTTTTAAAGTTGTTTTTAAGAGAGTTAGTATAAAAGCCCAAGGTACAAGGTTAAGGAGCATTTTTCCTTAGCTGATTGGTATGAGAAGGGCCAGGTCTCTAAAGACCCCCACATTTCTGGCCCTGTGTGAAGTGAGGGGTGAAAGGGACCCAGGTTTTTAGCAAGCACCTTCATCTCAGCTGGTCCTTTAGTTGCTGGCAGCAGGGGATCCAAGGAGCTAAAACGTTAGCTCTTAAACATGAAGTCGACACTGACCACCTTGATATTCTTCATGCCATTACAACACAGCTAAATCCTCCCTGTTCAAGTAGGAGATGATCTGTTCTAGAGGTGTATTTTGAATGTCACAACATCTGCATGGGTGACAGAGGCTCACCCTGCCTCCAGCCGATTGCTGGAAAAGCAAAACCCATAGAGTAACCTACGGGACTTGCATGGTTCTAAATATTTTGGTAACCTGTCTGTTTTCCCTCCCTCTGTAGCCAACTTCAGGACTGACTGACCATGACTTCCATAAAGGAGCAGGCAGCAATTAGCCGGCTCTTGAGTTTTTTACAGGATTGGGACAACGGTGGCAAAGTCGCAAGGAGTCACATCCTCGACAATTTCATCAAGACCAACCAAGGCAAGACCTCTCCTGAACTGGAGCAGGAGTTTTCCCAGGGAGCCAGCTTGTTCCTGGTACGCTTGACCACCTGGCTTAGACTCATGTATCCTTTGCCAAACAGAAACAAATTGGGCAATCTTCAAAGGAGAAAAGGAATGGAAATTATTGGGAGAGCTCTTCTCTTGAGTCTCCCGAAAACTGTAGATCAGGAAATCTGGTGATCAGAGAAGCATCCAAAAAGTCAACGACTACCCCCCTTCCTGTCTTCCCAACCTGCACATGTACCCTCATTCTCACCCCCAACCTCTTCTGCTCCCACCAGATTCAGTGTGGATATTCCTTCTTTCTGGGGTTAATCCTCTCTCTCCTCAAGGACTTTATTCCTTCTCTCTGATGGCCTTCACTTTTGCCTCCTTACCAGCTTTTACATTTACATATGCTCAAATCTCTTCTACCTTAAGAAATTAGATTAAATCCCCATCTCAAACCAATATTCCACGTAGTTCCTACCCTTCATGGTGAAGCTTCTTGAAAAGGTTATTGACTTTCCCTGTCTATGCTTCTTCACCTCCCTTTTCTTCTCCGCCCACTGCAATCTGACTTCTGTCCCCTTTGCTGATGCAGGTCTTGCCAAGGTTACTGCTGTTGTTCTAATTGCAAAACCTAGTGACTACATCCTTGGTCATTACACATGACCTCTCAGAGGCACTTGTCAACCATTACCACTTCTCAAAAAACTCTTCCCTGAAACTAACATAATGTTATATGTCAATTAAACTTCAATAAGAAGAAAGAAAGAAAAAGAAGAAAAAAGCGCATATAAGTCGTCACAAAAACAAAAAACCAGCCACTCTTCCCTTGGTCCCTTGGTTTCTGGGATACCAATTCTCTTGCTTTTTTCCTTTCTTTGTCTTTTCCTCATTTTTTTCAGCCATCCCTGAAATGTGGATATGTCTTGGGACTCCATCCACATCCCTCTCCCTCAGTGACCTAATCCATCGTCATGATGTCAGCACTACTCCAGGTTAAGGGTTCTCAGTTGTGTACCCCTGCCCACATTTCTCTCTGGAATCTGAGTTCCATACCTATTAATCCAACTACCATCTCCACTTCTACCCCACAGAATGACTCTCACATTTCTGGCTTGGGAAACTGGGTGAATGGCATGCCATTATGTGGGAAGAGAATACAAGAAAAGGAGTTGGGTTAGTTAAGTCTGGTTTGGGACATGTTGTGTTTGAGGTGCCCACGCTCAGGATTCCTAGAGACAGATTGGGGTTGAAGACAGATGTGAAAGTTTGGGTTATGGGGGCGCCTGGGTGGCTCAGTTGGTTAAGCGACTGCCTTCGGCTCAGGTCATGACCCTGGAGTCCCAGGATCGAGTCCCGCATCGGGCTCCCTGCTCAGC